ACGCTCCCGGCTCGCCAAAACAAAAAAAGCCCCCCGGCCACGTGGACCGGGGGGCTCGTCATTCAAACGTTCAACAAGGCGGCTGCGTCAGATCGTGTCCGATGTGGCGCACGAACCGTCTTCACAGCACTCGCCGCTCTCGCAGCAGCACTCGTCGCCACCGGGGCACGACGTGTCGCAAGTGCAGTCTTCACACTCGCAGCCATCGCCACAGCAGCAGTCGGCCGCGGCCTTGGCGGAGACGGCGGTCGTCTTCGCAGCGGCTTCGGTGGCCGGGCAGCAACCTGCCGTGCAAGCCGCGTCGCCGGTGCAGCAGTCGCCATCCTCGCAGCACGTGCCGTTCTCACAGCAGCACTCGTCGCCGCCCGGGCACGTCGCGTCGCACTTGCAGTCTTCGCAAGCACACGTCGCCCCACAGCAGCAACCCGCCGTCTCAGCGGCGACGTCATTCGCCGGTGCCAAGCGGCCGGTGAAAGCCATCGCGGCAGCAATTCCAAACAAAGCAACTAAACGTAACATTGCATAACTCCGTGTTATGAGATGGTCGCTACGTCAAACGGACGAAGCGAAGAGATTTGAATCGCAGCAGAAGCTTCCCGTGGCGTGGAAACGCGGAGGGAAGCCAGCGATTCAAATGACCCACACACAGAGCAGGGCCTGCCGATCGGGCGGCGGGCGGTCGAGCGTGCGACCTTCCAACCCGGCCCATCGCGACTCGCCAAGCGAGACGACCTGCGGCGGGTCCAGCGGACCGGCGCCGAGGGCCAGGGGGAGATCGTCCAGAGCAGGCGCCCGCGGAGCGGCCGCCGTTTCGGTAAGGGGGTCGTCAGGCCGATTGGTCAAGCAACCGTCGCACTTGCACGGACCCGACTCGACGCCAGCCGCCTGCTGTTGGCAACACGGCGGCGCCTCCTGAGCGACCCTGCAGCAGCTGGGCAAGCTCGTCGCCGGAGACTCGTTCGGCGTCGAGTCGTCCAGAGCCGCGACACGGCAGGCGCCCGTCGGCGACTTGCAGCAACACGGCGGCTCAACGATCGCCCCAACGGCGAGCGTCAGCGTCAGCACGAGTGCAAGCAGCTGGTCGAACACGGGAACAAAACGCCTCGGAGAGCGACGGACGGAACAGCCCAATTATAACGTATTACGTGGCCAATTCCGAGAAGGTTTTGGCGGCCCTGTTAACTTCTTCACAGGTTACCGGGGCCCGATGGTGATCATCATCTGATCGTGCCCAATCTTCTGCCCCAGCCGGTCGGTCACCGACAGCTCCAGCCGGTAATCGCCCGGCGTCAGCGTCGTGGGGAGCGTCAATGCGTACTGGATGTGGAAGTCGCGGCGGAGCGTCAGGCACAGGTCATCGACCACCGGGAAGTCGCCCGAAGCCGCCTCATCGCCGGCCTGGTTCACGAGGCGGTACGAGCTGTCGAACGTCGTCCGATATCCCTCCGCCGTGGCGTCGCTGCGGTAGTTGTCTAGCTCGGCGTACAGAACCAGCTGATCGCCGGGGGCGTAGCGGGTGTCGCTCGAGGGCTCGTAGGCGCCGTAGCCGTACACCTCGCGGCAAGCGACGAAGTTGCGGACTTGCAGATTGCCCATCGACCGTAGCTTGGCTGACGCCTCGCTCTGGTGCCGAGCGGCGGCGTCGACGCGCGTCCGTAGGTCGGCGGGGCCGTTCTCGTCGAGCATCGTCGACATCGCGTAGAGCTGGTTCGACCAGTACCCCTGCTCGGCCGACGACAGACCTGCCGCCGGGGTGACGGCCTGCTTGGTGTCGCCCGACACCAAATGCAACAGCTGGAGCCGCATCCGCTCCCGCGCCTCGTCCACGGACTTCGGCGGCGAACTCGCCGAGGCGCCGAGCTGCGTGATCGCCGCATCGACATGGCCGCGCCAGTCGGTCGGCTTGGCGGGCTCGGGCGGGAACAGGGCCTTGGCCCGCGGCGCCGCGGACGAAGCCCCACCCTTGGAGGACATCGCAACCCGCTCCGACTCGTCGAGCAGGTGGTGGTTCTGGATCACCGAGGGTTGCTGCTGGGAAGCATCGCCGCCGACAACCATTGGCATCGCGTCGGGCATCGGCGTCGAGTCGGGCGCCATCGAGTCAGCCGTCTTCGTCGGAGTATCGACCGTCGCGCTCGCTTGCACGACGTCGCTGTCGTCGGATGTGGTGTAGGGGCTCGGCAGCTTGGCGGGCGGCGCCGGTTTCGCGGCGGCCACCTGCTTTGTGTCGGAACCCGCCTTGCTCTTCTCGGCGAGTTGTTGCTTGTAAGCCAGCCGGTGCTGCGCGCTCTGCACGGCGAGCGTCCACAGCGACGGCTTCGTGCCGGAGAGTTGTTGCAGCACTTCTCCGTGGAGCTCGGGGTCGGCAACGGCGATCTCGGCGAGCATCGGCGAGACCTGCGCCATGGCCTCTTGCTCGGTCAACTCGGCGTACGGACCCGGCGGCACGGCCGCAGCCACCGGCGACGCGGTCACCGGGACAGCGCTCGCTAATCGGTTGTCGGCAGCGGCGTTCGCCGACGACATCTCCTTCAGCGCAGTCGCCGGTGTGCCGAGCGTAGTGCAGCCGGCGAGCGTGACGAGTGCGATTGGCGCCAAGCGCAGTGACATAGCCAATCCTTTGGCGTGACAAATCCTTTCGGCGTCGGTCGGCGAAGTGCTAGCGGCAGACCAACGAGCGGCGGATGGTAGGAAGATTGGGCGACTTCAAGCAACGCCAGTCGCTCGAGCCGAACGCTAGCGGACCGCCGCCGCCTCGCGCGACAGCCGGAGCAACAGCCGCTCGAGCTCCAGCCGCGCCCGCGCCGGCGCGCTGTTGTGCCCCTTCATGGCGAGGTCCGCTTCCAGCGCCCAGTCTGCTAGCTGCGACGC